TATTCCAAATGCAGTCTGACCAGAGTTGTACAGCCTCAGCAGTACATATCTCTGCTCTTGTATTCTAGCCCTCTTGAACTGAATATTAACATTTCATTTGCCTTCCTAACTGCCAACTGAACATGCATGTTAACCTGAAGAGAATACTGAACTAGGACTCCCCCGTCCTTTTGTGGTTCAGATTTTCAAAGCTTTTTCCCTTTTTGAAAATAGTCTATGCCTTTATTCCACCCACCAAAGTGCATAGCCTCACATTTTCCGACATTGTATCCCATCTGCCACTTCTTTGCCCACTCTCCTGGCCTGTCCGTCCAAGTCCTTCTGTATCCTCCCTGCTTCCTCATCACTACCCGTCCCTCCACCTGTCTTTATGTCATTTGTAAACTTAGCAACAAACCCTCAGTTCCTTCATCCAGATCGTTAATGTATAGCATGAATAGTTGCAGTCCCAACATCGACTTCTTCAGAACTGCACTAGTCACCAGCTGCCATCCTAAAATGATCCCTTTGCTCCACTCTGTTTTCTGCCAGTCAACTAATCCTCTCTCCATGCAAGTACTTTGCCCCAATACCTTGGGCCCTTATCTTATTTACCCGCCCTCTGTGCAGTACCTTGTCAAAGCCTTTCTAGAAATCCAAATTGATCACATGCACTGACTCTCCTTTGTCTAACTTGCTTGTTACCACCTCAAAAAATTCTAACAGATTTATCAGGCTTGATCTCCCCTTGACGGAGCCATGTTGACTCAGCCCTGTTTTATCGTGCATTTCCTAGTATTCCGTAATCTTATCCTTTAATAATGTACTCTAAAATCTTACCAACAACCTAGGTCAGGCTAACCGACCTATTACTTCCTGTCTTCCACTCCCTCTTTTCTTAAACAGGAGTTTTACATTAGGAAGTTTCTAATCCTCTGGGACCCTCTCTGACTCTAATGATTCCTGAAAAATCACCATCAATACCTCCACAATCTCTTCAGCTATCTCCTTCAGAACTCCAAGGTGTAGTCCATCTGGTTCAGGTGATTTATCCATCTTCAGACATCTCAGCTTCCCCAGTACCTTCTCCTTGGTGATGGTCACTACACTCACCTCTGCTCTATGAATCTCTGAAGTTCTGGTATGCTACTGGTGTCTTCCACTGTGAATATGCTAAGTAACTGCTCCATTCCTCCACCATTTGTTTGTTCTCTTCCCCACCTCCCCATCCCCCCATTACTACTTCTCCATCCTCATTTTTCAGTGGTCCAATGATCACTCTTGCCTCTCCCCTACCTTTTTATATATCTGAAAATACCCTTGCAAACTTCTTTTATATTACTAGCTAGCTTACACTCATATTTCATCATCTTCCCCATTACTGCTTTTTTTTTTTATTTATCCTCTGCTAGTTTTTAAAAGGTTTCCCAATCCTCTGGCTTCCCATAAATCTTCACACTGTAAGCTATTTCTTTTCCTTTCATGCTATTGCCAACTTCCCTAATCAGCCATGGTTGCCTCGTCTCTTAATATATTTTCTTCTTCCCTGGGATGAACTTCTGCTGTGCCTCCTGAATTAACCCCAGAAACTCCTACCACTACTGCTCTGCTGCCCTTCCAATCAACTCTGGCCAATACCATTACATCTGATTCCAGCTTCTCCCTCTCAAACTGCAAGGTGAAAACTACCATATTATGGTCACTGTCCCTGAAGGGTTCCTTCACCTTAAGCTCCATAATCAAGTCTGCCTCATTATACATCACCAAATCTAGAACTGTCTGTTCCCTAGTGGGCTCTACCATGAGCTGCACCAAAAAGCAATCTCATAGACATTCTATGAATTCCTTTTCTTGAGATCTGCTACCAACCTGATTTTCCCAGTCCACCTGCATATTGAAGTCCCCAACGATTATTATAATAGTGTATTCCTTATGGTTTTTTTTTCTATCACCCGATCTATTTTCTTCCGCACATCTGGACTATTGCTAGGAGGCCTGTACACAACTCCCATCAGGTCTTTACAGCTTCATGATACCTCAATTCTACCCACACAGATTCTATGCCTTCCTACTCTACATCACTTCTTACTAACAAAGCTGGCCCCTTCTGTCCATCTGCCTGCCTTTTCAATAGGATGTGTATCCTTGGATATTTAATTCTAAGCCTTGATCCTCTTGCAGCCATGTCCCTGTGATAGCCACAAAAATGTACCTGTCAATTTCAATCTGTGGTAAAAGCTCATTTACCTTTCTGTAACATGATAGCCCTGCCAGCCCTTAAAGTAAAAAGGCACCAATTTAATGACATACGGAGATGGGTCAACATTTGCTCTAAGCTTTGCACTTGTGCAGCCACTCCAAGGTCGCATGAACAGCAGTGTCAGTACGCCAATAACAACACTGACTTCCAGTTCTAGAAGATACTACAGCACACAGACCTCAGAGGTTCATGCAGCCGGAAAGAAAATTTGAGGGAACATTGGTGGTGGTGCTGGGTTGTTACTACTGGGCTAGTAATCCAGAGATCCAGGCTCGTACTCTGGGGATATGGGTTCAAATCCTGTCGAGATTTTAAGTAAATTAATAAATCTGAAAATAATATCTAGTTTTATGGTGACCATAAAACCTTTGCCAATGGACATCAACAAGAATCTGTTTCACTAATCAAAACTGAAAGAACTACGGATGCTAGAAATCAAACAAAAACAGAAATTGCTGGAAAAGCTGAGCAAGTCTGACAGCAACTGTGGAGAGAAACCAGAAGTTAACGTTTCGGATCCAGTGGCCCTTCCTCAGAACTGATGGTAGCTAGGAAAATTACGGTTTTTATGGGGGGGGAGGGGGTAAGGAGTAAGGGGATAAGGAGTAAACAATAGGTGGGGATAGAGCCCAAAGAGAGAGAACAGTTGGACAGACAAAGGACTGGATAATGATCAGGCTGGGAGGGTGATAGCTATTCATGGAGACTGTTAGTCACTAACAATGAGTTGCATGTAAATAGCAGATGATGTGATAACAAGGCCTGGTATGTGGGGGATAGGGGTAAGGATATGGGACAGCTGAAACCCTAAAGTTGTCGAAGCCTTTCTGCTCCTATGATGCTGCTTGGCCTGCTGTGTTCATCCAGCTCTGCACCTTGTTGTCTTGAACTCTATATAGAGTCCAGATGGCTGTAGAGTTCTTAAACGGAAAATGAGATGCTGTTCTTCCAGCTTGCACTGAGTTTCACTGGAACAATGCAGCAAGCCTGAGACCTTTGTAGTGTGTTGAAGTGGCAGGGAACTGGAAGCTCGGTCTTTTTTGTGGACAGAACATAGATGTTCTGTGAAGCGGTCACCCAGTATATGCTTCATTTCCCCAATGTAGAGGAGACCACGTTGTGAGCAGTGAATGCAGTGGACTAGATTGAGTGAAGTTCACTGATGTTTGCCATATTCACCTTAGCTGGCTTACACATGACTCTTAAGTTTTCTCTGAAATGGCCTAGCAAAGCACTCAGTTGTATCTAACTTGCACAAAATCTGATAAAAGAAATGAAACCAGATGGATCATCTGGCATCGAGTATGACTATGGCACACGCAGCCCTGTTGACCCGATAAAATCCTCCTTAGTAACAGCCGGTGGTGTGTGCCAAAATGGAAAGATCTGTTCCACACTGTTAAAGCAACAGTCTGACATAGTCATTTTCACAAGATCAATGTCCCAGAGACTATCGCCACCATTCCTGAGTATGTCCTATACCACCGACAAAAACAGATCCACTAGAGGAATACAGTTGGGAAGGAGTTGCCCCTGCAGTCCTCAACATTGACTCTGGACCCATTGAGGTCACATTACATCAAACATGGGCATGTAAACCTCCTACTGATTACCACCTAGTGACCCCCTTTGGCTGATTAAATCGTTCATCTCCATGTTGAACACCATTGTGGTGGTGAGGGCACAAAACATACTCTAGGTTGGGGGATTTCAGAATCCATTGCATTATGTGGCTTGGTAGCATTAATACTGACAAAACCGAGCAAGGCCTCAAGGACGTAGGTCGTGGTTTGGGCCTATAGCTTTTAGTGAGGAAGTCCAAGAGGGAAAAACATACTTGAGCTTCACCAATCTACCTGCAGTAGATGCATCTGTCCATGAGAGTGTTGGTAAGAACAACCACTGTGTAGCTGAAGTCCTGCCTTCACAATGAGGATTACTTCTATTGAGTTGAGTGGCACGGTCACCGAGTTAAATGGGATAGATTTTGAAAAGATCTAGCAACTCAAGAGTGGGCATCCATGAGGTACTTAGGCCATCTGCATCAGCAGAACTGTATTCTACCACACTCTGAACTGATGTGATGAACACATTCAATATTAACATGGAAAACAACTCAAGAGGAATGACTGCATTATTGATGTTAATTTAACTCTTTCAAGTAAGGATCAAGTAATTCCTCAATAAATTTGTTATCCTGTCATGAACTCTCACCATTCAAGTCCTATAAAACATGCTCAAGTAGTACAGCAAAGACAAACAACATGGAAATTTCTTAAGTTTCTTTAGAATGATTTAATATTGTACAATGGCTGATGATAGTGAAACTTGTTTTTCGCAACAGAAGAAAATATATAAGCCATTCAGCCTCTCACACCTGTTCCATTAATCAATTACCTACTTTGGATCAAAATCCAAAGAGAAATCTCAGTCCAAGTTTTGAAATATTGAATTGACCAAGCCTCAACAGGCTTGTGAGTGCGATCACACCAGATTCCCATGACTTTTTGGGTGAAAAAATGCTTCCTGGCATCAGCCCTCAATGGCTTCACTCCAGTTTTAAGGTTCTGCCTTTTTGTGCTGACTTCACCACAGGAGGAAATAATTTCTTACTATTTACTCTACCAGCTGCTTTAATCATCCTAAACCAAATCATACTAGCATGCTCTGTACTCAAGGAAATACAAACAAAATCCTCATAACTTAGCTGCAAGACATGCATTGTACAGACACAAACTTAAAGTTAGTAACATGCAATTACCTCCTGGATTTGCAGCCTTCCATCAGCAGTGACATCATAAGCTGACATAAATCGCTCTTTCATTTTTTGGACCTTTCCAGCACTGAGGTCGTCCTGTGAAAGCCAAGATTTGATTGACACATATTAAAATACAATTGATATCCAGCTCAATCATACATGATTTGCCAACTGGCTGATAATTCGATGAAGGTTCTGTAGATATCACATAACTTTTCTCAACCCTATCACCATGCATTTCAGTGTCAGCATGCCTAATTCTTCAGATTACCATTTTTGGCAACACATTAATATCAGCCCCCTTCACACTGATAGAATTGTTTAATTTGCAATATGTCACAATTAAAGTGACATTCATGACTGAAATTACGTTGAATTTTGCCGCAAACTGGATAGCAGTTTCATTGCATTGCTGTCATATAGTGAATTCTCCTTGAGCATTAGCTTGTGCAGGTATCTGATAAGTGTGATATTTAAAGCATCTCAGGTCAATGTATTGTCCTTCCCCAACCCTGCACTGGAATGATTGAGAGACTGTAATCAGTCTCCTGCTGAGTCTGGGTATGACTACTGATTTTTCAGCTGCTGTCTGTCCTGCCCATAGAGTCACATACACACACCGGTGTACAATGAACTTATTATGTTAACGTCTCACACCATGCTTGTTTGTCATCTCAGAATATCCTATTGTAACAATATAGTGACTGATGTACATTGACTGCTCCACATGAAAATAAAACCATGAACAATCAAGTACCACTCATCAAAATTCAGCTCGGGATCTGGGATGTCAATATGTTCACAGATAATCCAAACTGTAACAGACCTGAGCACTACACCATAGTCATTACTTGGAAATCCCTCAACATCGATGTTGCCGTCTTGAATGAGACAAAATGTTCAGAAGACCAATGTGTATTAATAAGGCAGAGGATGTCCATTTTCCAGTGGAGTTTTCCAAAGCGAATCATGCCTCCTTGGGGTGAGCTTCAACATCAAAAATGACCTTGTCTGGGACCTCAGTAAGATAAACAATGCCTTGTGACTGCCCAGTTCACCCTAATGAAGAATTAGCATGTCATGGTCAGTCAATGTCAGAGATGTACAGCATGGAAACAGACCCTTTGGTCCAATTCGTCCATGCCGACCCATATCCTAAATTCCATTACTGCACGTGTTGCTACACTTGAAGCTACAGATGAGACCCAGGAGGGGTTCTACACTGAATTTGAGCAATCTCTAGTCCTGGTCCCGGCAGGCGTCAAACTGATCCTCCTTGGGGATTTCAAAGCATGTTCGAGAAGAACTCTGGCAAGGAAGGATTGGGAATCCCATCTCTAACGGAGTCCTCCTCCTGACAAAATATTGAGAACTCACTCTTGTCATAACCAACAACTGTTCCGCAAATGAGACAAGCACAAAATCCCGTGGCACCACCCACTGTCAAACACTAGCACTTGCTCAACTACATCAAGGAATCCAACAAAGGACTGCAGAGAGGTACATTTCAATTGCGCTACAACTGGTGCTGAACCAATTATCACCTTGTCTAATCTACCATTCAATCAGCCTGGCAAAACAAAGGAAGCAGCAAAATTAATGCCACACAAAAAAATTAACATCAAAGCCCTCAAAGGGGCCCATCATTGTCAATACCACATTGCTGGTCATCAGGAGCTAGAGTATGCATAGTACCTGGTTGACCCAAATGTCCACCATAACAAGCACTGGCGTAAGAATCAGTGCTCTCTGTTAAAAAGGGCCAAGCGATATAGGACATAATCAAATGCAAGTGCAAAGTTTTCACAGACTGGAAATTTTACAATAGTCAAGATAGAAGGAACAGTCCTATAAGCCGCTGAAGGCAGTAATACAGCATAAACCTCATGGCATACAGAACAAATGATAAGTAGAAAGACCACGGGAAATCCAACAATTCGCAAATACCAAAGAAATACATGTGCGGTTGCTTCTGTCAAGATGATCTGTGGGCCAAGCATTCAAGTGCCAACCCCACTGACAGCCTAACCATGGAAGGAAACTCAACATCAAGGCAGTCAGTGCTTGCTGGAAAGGACATTTTGAAGAATTGCAAATGACACCAAAATGAATTAGGATGAACAGTGAGATCCTGCACTAATTCACATTTCTGGGGAGTCTCCCCTTGATGAAGGTAGACAGACAATAAAACTCACCATTGCCTCAAGTGTCCTGCTCACAGTTTGGCTGGGTGAGGAAGAGTATTTTGGGTCAAGAATGTCAAACCTAATACTAAGGTCACAAGAGATCCCTATGTTCTGATATGCTTCAAGGACTTGGAAAACTTGCAACACTACAGAAGTACCATCAGCAGTTCCTTCACAGAATGCTGCAAACCCATTTGGAAGAAAATCAGTCCAACAGCTGCTTCCTTGCAGACTCTAACATGCCAAGTATTGAGGTTAGAATCACACGAAATCAGTTTCGCTGGTCGAGACATAATCGTTCATGCACTTGACACCAGACTCCTGAAGGAACTGATCTACTTCGGACTTGGCCATGGCAGGAGACTCCCAGAACAACAGTGTGGATGCGTTAAGGGTTGTCTTCAAAACATCTCTGAAGAGACGAAGAATCCCCATCAACCCATGAGAGTTCCTGACTTGAGGCCACCAAAATGGAGAAGGTTCATTTGAAAGGCACCAAACACGCCTTCATTGGGAATAGAGTTGAAGTGTTAGAGAGAGTGCACAATTGTTCAACACCTTATCTGCCAATCCTTCAGATACCAATAGCCCTGCAGAGTCTCTACAGGTCCGCATCAGATTTGGCACTTATCTCAGAACCCACTGAATTGGAGTGGAAACAAGTCAACTTCAATCCAGAGGAGGAGGAAAAGGGTTACTGCAATACATGAAACTATGACTATGATTGGAGTTGTTTGCATTTTACCCTTGCTCCCTGGAAGCAGGCCAGCATGTGTAGGAGAGTATAAAAGAGGGTCATGGCAACAGCATCTTGGCCATCAGTTGCCTGCCTCCATCTAGGTCAAGTAACAAAGCTACCAGGTAAAAGCTTCATCAGGGTTTATCCTCTGTGGGAATATTACACTATTTCATCTCCACTGTCCTCTGCCCTTTTGCAGGCCTAAGCCCTAGTTCCTGCTTTGAGTCTCTGCATTTGCTTCAAACCCATTGCACATCACTAATTGATTAAAGGTTAGCAACCTGAAATGTTAATGCCACCTTTTTTGCTCCCTGCATATGCATGGTGAGGCAGCGGTGTAATGGTAATGTCACTAGGCTAGCAATCTAGAACCTTAGCCTCTGGAGACATTGGGTCAAATTCCACCAGGCAGATGGTGAAATCAGAATTCATTTTTAAAAATCTAGAATAAAAAGCTATCATAAAAACCCGTCTGCTTAAGTCTGTAAGCAAGGAAATCTGCTGTCTTACCTAGTCTGGCCTAAACATGACTTGTAGTTCACTCTTAACTGCTTCTTGAGCAATAAATACATATGCGTACATTTATATGTGTATGTTAGTTAAGACATAAATCCTTAAGTTTATGAGTTAATGCCTTTACCTCTGATCTAAATTCATTATACCTTGAGTATTATGCAATGAGTATTATTGTTGATGAAAAGGACAGTTAAGTTAGAGGAATTTTACAACTTTGTACTCCTGGAAGGGCATTAATCTACATAACCAACTTTCTAACACAAACTCTCCTCTGGTGAAACTTAGTACCAGAGGGTAAATCAATAAAGTTTAATATTTAGGATCTGCATCTTCCCAAGGATGTGCCATGAGACTGTACAGCAGCTACATATTTTATTCAGTAGATTTTGAGGAAGTGCATTATTTTCAGTAGCATTAGAATAACAAATTTGGTCCTAATTCTGATAGAGTAAAAATGAAATCTGCTTCATAACTGAAATTACAGCAGATTCATGAATCCTCAGTACCAAGTCACGCGGGAATTATGCAAAACTCTCTCTATAAACAATGTGACCGAGTAGGTCACCATAACCTTTATATGTATTTTAGTGTAATCTAGCCACCAGCTACAGCCTGAACTACATTAACAAGCACAATATCCTTCCCTAAAGAACATTCATGAATCAATAGGCTTTTTATAACTGTCTGATGGATTTATCGTGATTTTCAATTTAGACCTTTCCTGCATCAAATATTATTTATTCATTTATCCTTTGTATTGAAGACGACAGCCAGGCCATCATCTGATATTTTGACGTGAGTTCTTTGGTGACTGATGAGACTGTTTTATTTGAAGTTAGCATTCACAAACAATAAATTAAAGAAGAGTGTCATAGGTTGGGGATTGTTTTTTTCTCATTTGGTCAATGGGAGATCTCATAGCAAGCCCACTTTCTACACCAAACATATACACTTGCACTTTCCAGCAGGTGACAGCAGTTAAAGAGTAATTGAAGACTTGTACCTTCTCCCTAGCTGAGGAATATTGAGGCCAACTGCAATGTTTATATTGTAACCTTGATCCTGATCAGATAAATTGGCACATGATTTTACATAGCCACTTCTATGACCTTGTACCAGGGATACGTAAATCATAATTTCAGTTATGAAGCAGATTTAATTTTAACTCTAGCAGATTTAGGACCAAACTTGTTAATCTAATGCTCCTGAAAATAAAACACTTTCTCAACTGACAGCCTCATTGGGCAGTGAGTTTTCCGGTCGAGCCATCAGTGAAAGCCTGTGATCTTGTATTTGTTTAGGATGTTATGCGAAACATTCTATTGCTGTAAACCATGAAAGAAACTTTACAGTTGTCCAAAACATAACTACTTTTGGAGTCTACTTTAACTTTATTCATTGCTCTTCTTTGCTTTTGAAATGTTACTGCTTTCTGTTGTTGCTGGTAACTTTGCCTTTATGATCACATGAATTTCTCCATGACTGGAACATTCATTGTGGGTCAGTTGAGAAAAAAAAGCACGAAATTGTGGTAGGAAGCACTTTGCTTATTTAATGTTACACACTATTCATATTCATAAGAATAAAAAAGTACATCTGCAGAAAAGCACCATGTACTTCCATATCTTGAGCAAAAGTCCCAATTCCTTATCCAT